GAGACTCCTACCATATGATCCGGCAATGCCACTCCTAGAGGTATACCGGAAGGAATGTAAGTCAGCTTACCATAAAGGCACCTACACATCCATGTTTATTGTAGCATTATTCACAATAGCCAAGCTATGGAAACAGCCAAAATGACCCACCACTGAGGAATGGATTAAGAAAATGTGGTATTTATATACAATGGAATTTTATTCAGCCATAAAGAGAATGAAATTTCATCATTTGCAGGTAAATGAATTGAACTGGAGAACATCAACTTAAGTGAAGATAGCCAGGTTCAGAAAGCCAAAGGCCACATGTTTTCTCTCATATGTGGAATATAGACCCAACACAAATGCAAGCAATATTATGAAAAACAGGTCACACTAAGCAGAGGTCACTAACGAGAGAGGGGGGTAAAAGAAGAAAGTTAAGTAAGGTGAATATGGTTAATGTACTTTCTGTATAAGAATGAGTATAGAATTTTTAAACCTGTTGAAATCACCATAAAAGGGGGACTAAGGTAGAAAGGAGAAAAATGAGGGGATGAACCAATTCAGGTTATAATACATATATACATGGAAATGTCACAATGAAACATCCTGTATAGCTGCTGCCTTAAACCAACAAAAATGTCTTTTTTTTCTTCAAAGAAGGGGAACAGGAAGGTAAAACAGGTCTTGAGGGGGGAGCGCTGGTACCAGTGGGGGGGGAGAGGATACAAGAAAAGGGTGTAGGGGGGGAATATGTATTACACACACATGTATGCAAATGGATAAATGACACCTATTGAAACTATTCCAGGAATGGGGGGATAAAGAAAAGTGATAAAGGGTTGAATTTAGCTAAGATATATTGTAAGCACTTTTGTAAATGCTACAATGTACTCCCAGTACAACAATAATATGATAATAAAAAGTTAAATTAAATTTAAAACCCGCCTCTCTTTCTTTGTTTTTTCTTTTTTAAGGCAGTAGTTGGGGTCAGAGGAGGGGTGTTGTCACACCATTACTGGAAATCTGATTAGGACATGAAGCATGAAATGACTTAAGAGAAATGTCCAGAGGGTCCAACTTCTCCCCTGCCTGCACTCATGTTCAGAGTGAGGTCCAGACATTTACTCAAGAGGAATCCAGTCTCAGAGGTCTGGAATGTTGTTTTCCACAAAACCATCGACCTACATCACACATCTGGGTCTCAAGTCACCTTTAACAAAAACTTGATACACATTAAGAATTAAAATCTCGAGGAAAGTTAATACTTCTATGAGGTTGGAAGTTGTGTAGAAGGCAGGGTGTGATGGGTCAGTGGGGAGGCTAGATGGCAGGGGCTGATACACAGCCCCTTTTGATGCCCAAAAGGAAGCAGTTCTTTCTGACTCCTCGTTTCTTTTGCATCCCTTCAAGGAATGCAAATTTTGAATTTAATCCTCTTATTTTTAAAAAATTTAGATTGTATGATTCTACTCTTCTTCCATTCCCTCTCACCAGTCTTTCAGGGTTCTCTTGTTTGTTTCTTTGTTGTACTGGAGTTTGAACTCAGGGTTTCACACTTGGGCCAAGTGTCCAAACCTTTTGCTCTGGTTATTATTGACATAGGGTCTCCGTTTTGCCCAGTCCAGTTTGTACCATGATTATCTTATTTTAGGCTTCCCTCCATAGCTAAGATGGCAGGTGCCATCAGGCCCAGGTTTTTCCTGTTGCTACGGATCCTGCAGAAACCCATTTTTTATCGGCCTGGTCTGGCCTGGAACTGTGATCCTCCCTATCTCAGTCTTCCACATAGAAGTTGCCTGTCCTTCATCTTTGTGTTCAGTGACATCTGTAAGATATGCCTCAGTGTCAGCTCTGTTCATTTTCTCCTCAGGAGATGTCACTAGATTTGTTCTTTCTTTCAGCTTTCATGGAGTGCTGGAGTTTATCTAATGCCGATATTCTGTTTATAGTAAAAGAATGTGTTCCACAGTAAAACACATGGACAGAAATTTTAAAACCCATTGATGATTTACCTTGTGGACTTTGAAGTAGAGGAAACTATCATTTTACCACATTAACTGCAGCACTGTTATATATTTGAATTTCAAATAAACAAGAAATATTTTAGTACAAGTTGTTCCAAGGATTGAACTAGAGAATTATCAAAAAATATTTGGAAGTAAACAGTCCTTTAACTCAGTGAATTGTGTTTTTATTCCATGTATGAGGGGAATATATTTTAATTTGTGTAGGAAATAGTTTTACAATAGAATGGGTTCCCCAGGAGTACAAAGGAGAAATGCAAACTGCCACAGCCTCAACTCAAAACCTATTATTCCTTAAAGATGTGATGTGTACTACTTCATATGCCCTCACTTCCCCACACAATCTTGCCTTGGACCAGAGCCTGCTACATATTATAAGTACATGTTCTTTCCTGTGCCCTCACTCTCTTAGGCAATCTTTTGGGACTCAAACCCAGCTACCTCCAGGGGGTGTGTTGCTTTGTACTAAAAGACCTGCCTTAAAATGTGGGTTCAGTCCCCTGCACATGAAAACAACAGTAACATCTAACAAATATTGCAGAACAACAACAACAAACAGGTGAGCCAGTAAAGCTGAGATTCTTCTGCCTCAATGCCTCCACAACTAAACTAGATGACAGAATAGAACTATTGAAATCCCTCAACAAACATACTGGGCTCTTAAAATTGTTACTTGTTAAAATCAAAGTGTGTGTTTCCTGTAATCCCTTTTCATACATCTTCCTAACAGCTATAGGCACTCATCTTCATCACAAGGCCAGGATGTGGCATGCAGAAGAAAAGTAATAGTTCCTGTGATAAACTGATTGCCCACTGCTCAGGGCCAAGATGCGTGCATAGGAAAAACGCTTTCTAGACAGGTGGCCATAGATAATGAAAGACCTTTGTTGTTTTGTCAGCATTGGTGTTTTGAAGTGTTGGAGATCTAACCTAGGGCCTTTTACCTGGTCCATGACTCCCATAAGATTGCCTAGGAGAGGGAGGGCCCAGGAAAGAACACACACTTTTTAGTAGATAACAACAGGCAAGATTGTGGGGGGAATTAAGGGGATAGAAAAAAAACACACAAAACACACAACATATTTTTTTAAGGCAATAAGTTTTGAGCCAAGGCTTTGGATCTGCATCTGTCCTTTGTACCCATGGATGTCACTGTATGGTTTAAAACTATTTCTCACACAAGTGAAAATATGTTTACATTACACCTGGAATAGAAACACAGCACACTGATTTAAAGTACTATTCAGCTAAAATATTTTTATGTAACTCCAATTCAATCTTTGGGACAAACTTGTACTAATCCTTTATTGTTTGTTTATTTGAAAATCAAACATGTCACTGCCCTGCATTTTATGTTGCAATACAGTATTATTTCTTCTTCTTCACAAACCGACAGTATAATACATGGAGGAATTTTAAATTATCATCTATTTCCTTTGAAGATGCTGCTTGAGGCATTAATATCCTGAATTTGGAAGTTACTTCCATTATTGGGTCTTATACTCCATATTATGCTGTGGCATTGATTTCTCCTATTTTCCCTTCACAAGGAGCAAGGTGTTCTGTACCATTTTAGAAAGAAAGATAAATCATATCTGCCTGCCCACAAAGGGAACATGGGATTAAGGCACCTCAACTAATGTGCCTGATGAATCAAGGACCCTGCCCCACTTTTCCACAACATGGCTAATAAATCACCTTATGAATAATGGCCACTGAACAACTCATGTCCAAAATTATTTTAGGGGATGGCAATCCACCTTAGTATCTTAGAAATGATGATCCAGATCAGCATATGATACTGAAATACTGTAATCTATGCAGAAAGTACATGTCCCAGATTCCTGAAATCTCCTGTTAAAATTGAATTTTCAAAGAAAATAACACACATGCACTGAGAAGCCCACTTTTAAAAAGCTTCTTTCCAGATTTATAACTGCTTTCAAGGGTTTGAAAGCAGGACCACATGCTTACTAGGCAAGTGTTAACACTTTTGAGTTTCACTGCAGCCAACAGTAGGATAACTCTCAACATAACTGGACAGGAAATTCTCTTCCGTGATATTTTCCTTAACATATGTGTATTGCTCCCTATGGTCCCGGCATTGTTCCTTACAGTATCTGAATATTGACTTCTTTATGTTCACTGTAACACAAAGAGGGAAGAACTATATGTAGTGCCACATTATCAGATTTGATAAACAATGTGCAGGGTTGAATGCTTGAACTCTGGTGTGAATTCTTGTCCAAAATCTGGAGTATTTAGACATTTTCAATCATCTCAAGAGGTTTCTTGCAGCCTGTGGGTCACAAGCATGTATGGTGTGAAAACCCAGTGCCAACTTCCTGCTGCTGGACTTCAAAGACAATACCGCCAGTGCTCTCCTTGTCCACAGATACATCAGGAGCACATCATGTCCCCTAATTCCTAGCCCATGCTATGTGAAGGCTGGCAGAACATGTGCAGGGTGAGGGTCCTGAGAAGTAATCCAATTGTTATCACAAGGATTTTTCTGGTAAGTGTGATTTCTTGCCCCATCTTCCACTCTCTGCTCCTGTATCAGCATGCAATCCATCATGCTCAGGTCTAGGGGTCCTTGCTGCCAACCAAGTGGAATAGTCAGCTAAGGTCGAAGTCGGGCCTCATTCCACAAATGCCCAACAGAGGCGCCATACTTCTTCACACTGATATTTTTCCACGCCCCCAAAGGCAGCTGTTGTACACTAGGCCCTTACCTGCATGGCCACGCCCCACCAGCTGATCTCCTCAGCAAGCCCCACCCACTGAAAATGGAGTAAGTGGAAATCCAATAGCTGTCCTCTGAAGGGTAGCGTGTGCACGTCGAACGTGGTGAACGTTCCAAACGTGCTGAACGTGCCACGGACCAAGGCCACGTGACCACTAGAGTCTACCCAACCAGAACTGGCTCCTCCCACTGTCCCTACCCAGAGGCATCTGTGGAGGCATCCCGGCTTCCTCAGAGTTCCAGCCATGGCATGGCAGTTTGCCTACTATAACCCCAACTGCTACCTCCTGGGGGTCTATGAGAGGGAAATATGGGCTCAACCTGCACAAGGTGTAGCAGCAGCAGCTGTCACCCACTTTTGTGAAGGAGCTCAAGACTTCATGGATCTGAGGCTCAGAGGTGACCTGAACTTCTGGGGCGATGTGAACCAAGTAGGTGGGATGAACCACAACAGAGGCGACGGGAACCGTGCAGGCCTTGAAAGGCACCAGGACCAGGGACAGCGGCAGCCCCAGGAGCCAGTGCCCTTGGCTGCCACAGGTGCCCAGCCCCCATCCACGAGTCGGCGTTACAAGCTGAAGCGTTGGCAGCTGCGTGAACTGGAAAGGGTTTTCCAAGAAAATCAGTACCCTGATGTGCTCACCAGGTAAGTGGCTTTCTCTAGAGTCACCTGACCTCCAAGGGTGCAGCTCAGTTCCAGGTGTCTTTGTCTGTCTCCTGGCCTTTCCTTCTCATCTTGACCCCCGAACTACCCTCAGCCTTACACCTTCTTGGGTTGAGGAGGATACTCGTGGGTCAAGGTCTATATACTCATGCACTATTTACAAGAATAATGTCTGGAAACTGGCGGTGGTCACCCATTTTGTTTCCGTTTGTTTTTGAAATGTGGTATAAGAAAAACATTCCCAACTAAACTTTTGAAGTATAGAACTGCCAGCATGAAGTATTTTTGTGTGGTGTGGGACAGGTTTCCAAAGGTCTCTTTATCTTGCCAATCTATACCCATTAAATAACACCCTTTCTGCTTCCACCTAGTCACTGCCAACCACCAATCACTCTTCCATTTTCTGGATTTGACTACACCAGGTTCTTCAGTGCTTGTGCTTTTGTGACTGGCTTCTTTCACTTAGCATATGTCCTCAGTTTCATCCCTGTTGTACCATGTGCCAGAATTTGCACCCATTTTTCAAATGTTGTGATACTAGGGATTGAACACAAGTCATTTGATGTGCTGCTAGGCAAGATTGCTAATGCTTGAATCACATCACTAGCCCTTTTGTTTTGCATTTTGTTTATGAGATAGAGCCTTCATAACTTTGCCTAAAGTGCATTAGAACTGCTGTACCGCCTCCCTAAGCCAACTGAGTAGCTGTGCTTACAGGTTTGCACCATCATACCCGGCTGAATTTCCTACCTTTCAAAGGCTAATAATATTCCCTTCTGTGGATATCCCACCTTGTGTTTTGACATTGGTCTGTGGAGGGACATCTGGTCTGCTTTTGCCTTGTAGGTTTTTGTGAATAGAGCTGTAGCCAATAGCTCTGCAACAAATAACTCTGAAACTCCAAATTTTCAATTCCTTTGGGAGTGTACTTGAAATGAAATTCATGAATCATAGGACAGCTCTGTGTTGAATGTTTTGAGGAAGCTCCACACTCTTTTTCCATTGTGGATACATGATTTGCCATTTCCAGCCACCATGTAAGAGCTATACAGTTTCTCCACAACCTCACCAATGTTTGTTGTTTACTAGGTGTTGATGGTAGCTATCCACTGTGTGTGACATAATCACTGTGGTTGGGTCTGTGATTCCACAATGATTGTCAATACTGAGCATCTTTTCTTATGTTTCAAGGTTGTTTGTGTATGTTTTTCAAGATACAGCACACTTAAGTCCTTTTCTGGTTTTTCTTTCTTGAAGAATTTAAGTTTTTGTTAGTGTATACTAACCATACAAAAGAGTCTCATTGTGACATTTCCATATATACGTGTAACATATATATGATTAAAATCACACCATCTATTATCCTTTCTTATCCCCCCTTTCAAACATACTTTAATGAGTTCATATTTCCATTTTCATACATGCATAGGAAGTACTTATGCATAGGAGGTCATTTCAGGCCCCTTTCACCCTCTCCTTTTGCCCTCTCCTTTTGTGCTGTTTCCTAGTTCAAAAAGTCTCCACATTTTACACTCTTCTATTACACTCCCTTTTTAAGGTCTGGATTCTGCATACGAGACAGAACATTCCATATTTTTCTTCCTCCGTCTGACTTACTGACATATAGTTATTTTTTAAGTAGAACTTAAAACAGATGGGCATGGTAACACTCACCTGCCTTCCCAGCACTAGGGTGGCTAAGACAGGAGTATGTCAAAATCAAGGTCATCTTGATTACATAGTGAGATCTAGGATAGCCTGAGTTACTTAGTTGGACCTTGTCTCAAAAACACAATGAAAACAACACAAACTAACAAAATAAGCAGTGCATTAAGACTTGTGTTCACTACCAGACTACCAATTCAAACTTTAATTTTGTTATGAGATGAAACCATTGGTAGAAAAATACTGGCTCTGAGAATTACAGAAAAGTATACTTGGGGAGTTGTGAGGAGATATTGTTCGTATAAAAAGAAGATAGAATGTACAATTTGTATTCCATTTCATCCCTGACACTGAGTATTGAATATTCATTGCTTTCTTTCCCCAGAAGAGAGCTTGCAAGAACCATCAATGTGACTGACGTCAAAGTGAAGGTCAGTAAATCTGAAACAAGCATTTGGCAGACACTGAATGGAAAACTTAGTTCAGGAAGTGGACAGTTTTGTCCCAGATGATTGTAATTTGGTGGGGTTCACTTTGTTTCATGCTGACAAACAAATATTGGTCCTTGGAAAATTTGAGTTGTAAAATGGAATAAGTAATTACCAGCTGGTTCACTTTTCCCCTATTGCCATAGTGAATGTGATTTACTGTTCGCTTTAGTGAATGTGATTCACTATTTTAGAAAAAGCCAACAAACTGCTTCTCCTTTTCCATGTGCAAATTAAATATATATAACATAAGCAGGTAAATTATATGTATGCAATACATATGCATAATTTAATACATACTTAAAGTGGATTTAGGGACCACTTATGGAGGAGTCGGGCTTAGTGTAACCAAGGAAGCATTCAAATTTCTGCATGGTGCAACATCATTACAAGATATGTTAATTGTACTAAATTACTAAAAACCAAGCCTAAGGAATTAGATAACAAAAAGATTTTATACACATTGTGAAATGTAACTCAGACATAGAAAAAAATCAGTGAGTAATTAATGTGCATTTAGTAAAGCTGAGGTTGATGTGTGAAGTGAGCTTAAAAGTACAAGTGCCTGTCTTCCTGAATTCATTTTTAAATTCTTGGTAAGGTGATAGAGAGTAAGTGAGAGTGATGAAATTGAATTATCTGCCATGCTGTTTTGTGTTCCCTGAAAACACTGTCTAAATATTTATACTATGTTTGGAAGAGGGCAAGAAGTGATAAGTTTTTTAATGTGTCTCAAGCATAAACCAAAGAAAAGGAAAATGTTGAATTAATCTCAGTTGAGATCATAATTAAATGCATACATTAGTCTTGAGTAACTGCTTATGTGGAAAGATTTCTTTTTCCTTTTTGGAGGTCCTATTTGAAGATGTGGACTTATAGAATAAGTTTGGGGATATGGCCCTATTTCATGGTGGATTCATACTTCCCTTAATTTCGAGTACTTTCTATTCCTCCAGACAGTGATGAGTAGAGGGATAGTGTTTCATCGGATCAAAGAATGACTATTTGAGTGCAAAGAAAAGCACACTGGTGGTATGGCATCCAGACCAAGAGCACAACAGAAGAGGCCACTGAATGCTGGCATCCTCACACCACAGGCTGAGATTCAGTCAGGCCTACCTGAGATGGGAGAAGTTAGGAGGAAGAGGGGAGCATTTACATAGGCTGATAAGGCAACCTCAGAGGAAAAGGAAAAGCCAACGTTTGTGAGATTTTTTTTTCTCACCTGCCTGAGCTTACTTGTTCTCTCCATGGAGATCTGAACGGAGCTACAGGAAACAAATTAGCAAAGAGCCTACAGGGTCTTATCTGCTTCCACCTGCTACATCAAGAATTTACCGAGAACCTTACTTCCTAATTTCCACCATTCTTCTAAAAACATAATAGGTTGGTTTTTGGAAGTGAGTATGCGATTTCCTAAACTAGTTATTCTTCTTGTTGTTTGCAGGGTTGGGAAAGGAACACAGAGCCCCACAAATTCTAGCCATATCCTCCTCCACTGATCAATCCCTGTAGCCCAGTTACAGATTTAATCAATCAAAAAAGAACTGCTCAAAGCTTACAGTACATTAATTATATTAAATTCATATACAGATGGGTTCTTTCAATATTTTTGTTGTTATTGAATAATTGGTAAGCATGGGTGGTGATAGAGAAGATATAAGCAATAGGGACGTAAATCTGTTGAAAGCATGATATATACATGTCTGAAATTTCAAAGGAAACTCCTTTGGATTATCAATACACACTTTGAAAAAATGAAGGAATGAGGTGTAAAATAGGCCTTTTCTAGGGGCGTGTACCAGTGGGAGTCGTGAGGGCATAAGGACATGGTGACTGAAAGTGAATATGATCACTGTATTTTGTATTCATATGAACATAGCAAAATGAAACCTGTTCTTAGAAGACTAGAGGGTGGAGCAAGGATAACAATGGGAGGTGGCAAATCTAAGATATATTGTAAGCACATATGCAAGCCACAATGTATCCCCCTGTACAACTACTATATGCTAATAATAACAATAATTGAAAAATTAAAAAAGAAATGTGGTATACATACACAAAGTAGTTCTAGTCAGCCATAAAGAGGAATTAAATTATGTCATTTGCAGAAAAATATGTGGAACTAGAGACCATCAAGTGAAATAACCCAGAATGAGAAAGACAAATATTACATGTTCTCTCTCTTGCAGATTCTAGTCCTTTAAAAATGAATGACAGACGTTAAAACAGGGACTGTTTCAAGGTGGGAACTAGTGGGAGAAGGGAGGGCAAAAGGAGGGAGGTGAATATGATCAATGTACTGTATACACATGTATTAAAATAAAATAATAAAAACTGTTAAATTGTTTTTAGAATAGAGAAGGGGATGAGAAAGAGTAATAGAGAGTGTGAATTGGAATAAATTTTATTATATGCACGTGTGGAAATACCATGATAAAATCCCTTGTATGGTTACTATGTGCTAATAAAAAGATATATACATATATTCCAGAATTGAAAAAATAAAAAGAGAGAAGAACAAAAGATCTGTTGCTGTGCTATTTAAACCCTTATAGCCATAGAGAGTTGCATGATATGTTTTATCCATGATGATATCCCTGTTGGATCACTGAGCTAACCCCTTTTCTCTCTGATTGCAGAATTGGTTTAACAATAGGAGAGCCAAATATAGGAAAACTGTGAAGAAACCAATGACCAGAGGTGTGCGAAATGTTGGCCAGCCAGATGATTCTCCCATGAGGTTGGAGTGGTCATAGAGTGCCATCTTTCTCCAGTGTTCTTCTGGTGCCACCTACACCTGGGCCTGCCCTGCTGCCCCAGCCACCAATGGTTCCTCAGAACTTATACTAGCAATGAATAAGTGAATTCTCAACATACTTGTGTGTGTGGTGTGTTTCTTCAGTGGTTAGGATAATATGGATGTAAGTTTTTCAGAAAATGCCATATTAAAAGAATGACAATAAGGTCTCTTTTCATGAGGTGATGTGTTTGGTCACCATCAGTATGCCCTACACATCACAGAAGTTTTCTAAATGCCATTGTGGTTTGCACTGATGGATTCATTTTTCTCTGTCCCCACATCAAGCTATTCTCACCGCCACTCTGTCCATTGGGAAACAAGCATGTGTAAAGAGGGCTGGCCAAGTTCTAGTAAGATGACAGCGTGTTTCCAGAGGACTGTGTCCCATCCTCACTCAGGGGTTCAGTCCAACCCTGGACCCTGACAGAAACTTGCTAAGATGGGAACAACTATCATCTATGCTGCTACAAATTCTGTTTACCGCCATCCATTTCAGGGAGCACACGGGCACCATGAGCCATTGTGGCCCACGGGTCCTTGTACTTAAAACACTCATAATTCTCACTGCTATCCAGGCAGAGTTGGGATGGCTGTAAGTAGGAGGTGTGTTTTCCAGAAGGGCAGAACTTGGTCATGTGTGGACATCCAATGGGGGCTAAAATTTCTTGTTTATTTCACTACCTTTTATTCTTCCCCATTCTCCCAACACAGGTGCTACTTGAATTGTGCAAGTTGATATGAGACAGAGGGAGGGGGCAGAGGAGGAAGAACACATAATAGTCCCAGAGTCCCTGGATTCATATTTGAAGAACATCCTTTATCCCAGTGCTCCATGCAGGCTATCTGTATTATGGCATCATGTCCTTATCTCTTCAAGAACAACAGAAAAAGAGAAAGGGATGAAGAACTTGAATAACCCCTAGCAGGTCCAGCACATTGAGAATGCCCTTTGTAGTGTGGGCTCTGAGCACCACTCCCCCTTTAGGTCCCATTCTCTCCAAAAGTACCTAAATAAGCCAGTAGTTAAGATAAAATGATAAGGTAGCAAACTAACTGCTAAGTGTTTGCAACCAGGTAAGGAAAGTTGTGGGAGCCATGCTCTCCAGGGTGGTCTGAATCAGGAGCTTGGGACTAGATTTTGCAGAACACTCCAGGTCATCAGATGCAAGTTATGGGATATGAATACAGCCCTCAGAAAGGTCCAAGTACTGCAGATTGGAATACCTATAGGCGTGTTCTAAGGGCATGTAGCTCTTCCTTTGTTTTTAGTGGAGACTGTGGACCATGCAGCATCTGCTAATTTAAGCATTCCTGGGTTACCCCTGCTAAAGATGCTCTACTGAGATCAAACATACCCTGTACTGGGTGGGTGCTGTAGGCTTCTAATAGTACTGACCTTTTACTACTTCTCCCTTTCCCCTACTCTACCTGAGAGATGTTAGAGGGACACAATATTCCCAAATGGGAATTTTATTAGTTGCTAAGCCTTGTAAAATAGTAAGTATATTAGTGTTAAGTGTAGGTCTTCATTGCAGGCACCTTTTACTGTATAATTTTACTTCCAATAAGCTAATCTTTTGGGAGACCTCAAAGGTTTGACCCTTTCATTGATTGCTGTCAGACCCTTCCCTTTTGCCCTCTGCCTTGAGCAGCCCCTCTTTTGGCAGGCTGAGGGAGGCTGTCATTTTAGCTCCTTTAAATACTGCATAGATGCTTTGGATAAGGGCCTCCTTGATGAATTCTAGATGCCTTTGCTCACACTGCAGTGATTTTTTCTCAGGCCAGGTGGAAATACTATACCTAGTGACTTAATAGAAAGAGTGCGATTAATGAAGAAAAGACAGCCTCTTCAACAAATATTGCTGGGAAAAGTGGTTATTTGCCTTCCGAAAACTGAAACTAGATCCATGTTTATCACCCTGTACTAGTATCAACTCAAAATGGATCAAGGACCTTAATATCAGACCTGAAACTCTGAAGTTAGTACAGGAAACAGCAGGGAATACTCTGGAAGCAATAGGTATAGGCAAGGACTTCCTCAATAGAACCCCAGCAGCTCAGCAACTAAGAGAAAGGATGGACAAATGGGACTTCATAAAATTAAAAAGCTTCTGCACAACAAAAGAAATGGTCTCTAAACTGAAGAGACCACCCTCAGAGTGGGAGAAAACATTTGCCAGATATACATCAGACAAAGGACTGATAACCAGAATATTCAGGGAGCTCAAAAAACTAAACTCTCCCAAAATCAATGAACCAATAGAGAAATGGGCAGCTGAACTAAACAGAACTTATTCAAAAGAAGAAATTCAAATGGCCAAAAAACACATGAAAAAATGCTCACCGTCACTGACTGTAAAGGAAATGCAAATCAAAATCACACGAAGATTCCACCTCACCCCTGTTAGAATAGCCATCATTAAAAGCACTACCAACAACAGGTATTGGCAAGGATGTGGGGAAAAAGAGCCCTCATACACTGCTGGTGGGAAGGCAAGCTAGTACAACCACTCTGGAAAACAATATGGAGGCTTCTTAAAAATCTAAACACAAACCTGTCATATGATCCAGCAATCCCACTCCTGGGGATTTACCCAAAGGAATGCAACTCAAGTTACTCCAGAAGCACCTGCATACCCATGTTTATTGCAGTGCTATTCACAATAGCCAAGCTATGGAAACAGCCAAGATGCCCACTACTGACGAATAGATTAAGAAAATGTATTTATACACAATGGAATTTTACTCAGCCATGAAGAAGAATGAAATCTTATCATTTGCAAATAAATGGATGGAACCTGTAAAATCATCTTAAGTGAAGTTAAGCCAGGCTCAGAAAGGCAAAAATCGTATGTTCTCCCTCATATGCGGACTTTAGATCTAAAACAAATGCAGTAATATTATTAGACATGGGTCACACACTAAGAGGAGAACACATACAGGAGGAATAGGGAAAGTAGGAAACCCAAAACTTGAAAGTGCTTGATGTCGCCACTGTAGAGCAGCTAATAAAGTAACCTTAAAATGACAGAGGTCAATATGGGAAGGTGACTGGGAAGTAGTGAAGAGGTCTGGTAGAGATGAATCAATTTGGGCTGGAATACATTTGTGCATGGAAGCAATGCTAGGAATCTCTCTGTATAGCTACTCTTATCTCAACTAGCAAAAATGCTATGTCTTTCTTATTATTGCTTATGTCTACTCTTCAACAAAATTGGAGAAAAAGGCAGAACAGGTTCTGCCTGGAAGCAGGGGTGGGGGGTGGGAGGGAGGTGGTGGGGACAGGGGGGAGAAATGGCCTAAACAATGTATGTACACATGAATAAGTGAATAAAGCAAAAAAGAAAGAGTGGGGTTGATGCAATATGAGGCCTATAATTGGCCCTTATATAAAGGTTTTGATTGGTCATAGTGAACCTGTGAGCTGGTAAGGAAACTGGTGACATCCAGAACAATGAATTTAAATGAGGTTGCAAGTAGGAACTGAGACTCCTGGTGTACTGCAATGCAAAAGGAGGCATCCTTTACATCTGGAGCTATAAACCAGAAAGCCTCCGTGGGGATTTGGCTTACTAGTATAAATGTGTTCAGGATAAATAGTGCAGAAGGGGATAACTTCTTCATTGATGACCTTGATAACTTGTACCATTCTGAAAGAAATATCTAGTTTTTTTCTGCCATGATGGGGTTGTAGCAGGGAGAAATGCAAGGGCATATCTGGACAGTTGATAAAAACTTGATAATATGAGGATGAAGTCTTCTTTTGGTCACTCACCGAGAAGACACTGGGGATACCTGGGGAAGAAAAACAGATCTTTTAGAACTCCCCAGAGTTGCAGAAAGTGAATGTTTGAGGAGTATACAATACTAGAACAACTAGTGTACTTGGTGAAGTCATAGGTGGTCAGTGACCACAAGGTCTTAAGATCACTGGGCCAATAAAAGAGTAGAACTTATACTCTGGACACTAAGGGTGTTTCCTAGCTTGGATAAGACATCTCGGCCAGAGTGTGTGGGATACTTAGGCAATGCAAGAAAGAGTGAGTAAAGATGGTGAGTGACTTCTAGTGAGCATATGAGTGGTGGAGTAAGTGTACCCACTGGGCCATCAGTAGGGGTTTTGAGCTTGGGATGAGCTCTGCTGTGGGCAACAGAAGAGTAGTCCTTTTTCTAGTGCCCTACTGCTTGCAGTATGGATGTGGGCTTGGTGGATGCCTGGTGGATTTTGGCAGTTGCAACTGTTATTTCTTGAGTGGCTGCAGTTGTAGCAGGCCAATGAGAATCTTGTGGGAGCCTGCGGTGGCCTTGGCACTAGTTCAATTATATAAAGTAAGTTGGTAGCTGCTATAGCCAGGTTTTTCTTTAAGGCAGAGTGACTATATGGAGCCTGAGAGCACCCTTGATAGGGGAGGAAGTTGATAATTTCTATCACCATATATTCTCCCACTAGCATCTTTTCAGCTCTTAAAGCCTTCTTCTGGTTATCAGACTTTAATGGTTGTTTGTAGTAATGTTAGAAAAGGACTTTGGTATCCCTCTTGTAATTTTGGGGGGGTTCTCTAATTTCTGGTGAAATTTGACTGATCAAATACATGTCAAGAGCTACTAGACCCACTGGTGTCTCAGGATTTAAGTTCAGTCTTTCCATCTGGCCTCTGTTAGATTGGACTGAAAGAGGATGAGATTTTCAGTGGAGTTTGAGAGACTTAATTTATTGCAGTTGATGGGTTTAATCATGATTGCATGAATGTTCTGGAAGAGACAAGTGATGATATAGTTTCTTCAATCTCTGCCCCTTGATTGTTCCTGGTAGTCCCATTCAGGCTCTTCTTTAGAGACATCACTTGTTCTAGCAGTATTGCAAGTGCTTTGGGTATGAGCCTCATGAGTTCAAGTCTGAGGTAATAACCAAATTCTGGACCTTTCCTCATTGGAGCAAC